CAAAACGTTCAACCGCTGGACAGCAATCTACCCACAGGACCCCGGCAGGAAAACACGGTGCCCTGACAAAATTCTTCAGAGACACGGCGGATCAGGCGACTGACCCGGTAGGCCCTAACATGACGCCTGACTCACCTCCGGCCTGTTCCGCGCCGATGAGTCCTGCGGGCTCCGAGATATCCTTTCATTCAAATGACCCTGACATCAAGGAGCTACTCAAGGCACTTCCCTCTAAGCAAGACTTGGCCCACATACTCCACAGGCTTGAAACAACGTTCCAGACCAAATTGGATGCTATAGGGGCTGACTTCAAGCAGACGAAACACAGAATATTCGCGTTGGAGGAGGACAGGGACGCAATGCAGGCGCAAATTAGGGTACTTCAAGACACGGTGTCGGCCCAGAACACACAGGTCTCTGCCATGCAAAGGTTGCTGGATGACCTGGATAACAGGGGACGGCGAAACAACCTGAGGGTGAAGGGCCTCCCCGAGACTGACCGGGAAAACCTGCCTGATATACTGCAGGAGCTCTTCAATCTCATCATGGGCCGATCTGCTGACACACCGATAACTTTTGACAGGGCCCACAGGCCTCTACGTCCACGAGGCACTGCATCTGATGCAAGCCGAGACGTGATCTGCAGTCTGCACTATTATGAGTGCAAAAACAAAATTATGGAGGCCCTGCGTCGCTCTCAACAACCCCTTCTATACCACGGGGCTCCAATTGCAATCTATCCTGACCTATCCTGGATGACACTACAAGCCCGTAGAGTACTGAAGCCCATCACGGACCAGCTACGAGCCAGAAACTTACGATACCGTTGGGGTTTTTTTCCGCTCTCGCTGACAGCTACCTACAATGGAGCCTCGCACACCATCTCCTCAATTCATGATGTACCACTATTCCTGAGGGAAATGGACCTACCAGAAGTCCAAATACCCGACTGGTACGGCATTATACCACCGCTGAATGTTCCGAGGTTTCCGCTCCAGAATCGCCGGCAACAAACACCCATGAAACGGAGAGCCGACAGAGCTGCATTGCCAGCAGACGATCCAACACAGGCTCCTACCAACTATTAATCGCCGAAGACATGCAGCTACAACAGCTGGATGAAACCACCCTGCCACGGACATACATCTCACCTTCGCCCCATCCCGAAAGCTCCTGAAGCCCATTGGATACAATTACAAGCCGCAAGAAAAAATAATTAAATAAATAAATAAATAACGAACAAGAAGTAAATCACAAGATTGATCGCTGTTATGGAGACTCTTGACGAACCCCCGACGGACGTAGCAATAAAGGACTCCCCCATGAGGACCACTGGAACTGCATACCGATGCCCGTCAAGGAGACCCAGCTCCAGATGGTCATGCAAGTACTTTCATTGCTAGGGACATAGCGCTGTTCCCACCCTAACCATCTTATCCCTCCCTAGTTTAACTACCCCCCAGGCACGGACAGAACTGGACGCCTGACACCGGTTAGACCCTAGCTAAATGCCCACGATCTCGGCAGGACCAAGGGTGCTGAACGATCCCCAGCCCTGTCGAGCTTTGGGACTACCAAGATAGATGAACTGTAAATACATGCCTAGTTGGACCCCCTCAAGTGTCTAAGTATCCCCTCCTGCCCATTTGTATATAGCCCCCTCTTCCCTCCCCTCCCCCCTACCCCACTCCCGAGATGCCAAATGGTAAATGGACGTTCACTTAACATGCCTCTGTCAAAAAAGTATATCACAAGGAGGCAAAATAGTTACCTCCCCGTACTCACGCCCGACACCTTATCCCTCCTTCCCCCCCCCTCCCCTTCTCCCCCCTCTCTCATGCTGGGTTCTAATATGGAACTGCTGTGCCAAGCACTACAGAGACGATGGCTGGCTTAAGACGTGTGTACCCCAAACGGGCACCTCCCCGCACGATAACCTGTGATATGTTTTGCATGTATTATTGAAATGTAAAGTAAGCTGTGACACCCAGATAGGACTCAGGCAGAGTAAGTTTATATGTGCAAAAAGAGATTTGTTTAGGCTCAGGACCGTTTGCCTGTACTTTAGGATTGCCAGGCTTCTCACAGGATTCCCAGCCCACGCTGGACCCACTTTACTGCTTAAATGCCCCCCCACCTCCCCTGCATATATACGACCCCCCCCCCCTTCCTCTCCCACCCCGCTTCTCTCGTTGCCATACAGGGACCTGACGTTATCTTACCACGCCCCCAAGTGGTTTACTTTGTCCATCCAACCCCGCCTCCTACCATGCACACTGGTACAATACGACCCCAGGCGAGGGAGCAAGATGGACCAATACGGGCCAGGTGTGCCCCATTAACCCGAGATCCTCCCTGTGGAAAAGGGGCACCCCCAGGATCATATCAAGGTACGACTATGTGGGCTCAAATCCCTCCTCAAAAAAAAATTAAAATTAAAATAAAAAAAATAAAAAAATTACAATAAAAGAGAAAAATTAAATACGATAAACTGAACCACCAGAAAATATCCACTCCCCATCCCCCAGACACACATACCTTCCCTCCCACCTCCCCCCTTCCCTCTTTCTCATAAGGGGCTTTACTATTACCCTGACAGGCTAAAACTCACGGGGAGGACGACCGGCTTACAGACCGGTGTATTGATACTCTGAGCAATACTCCATAGGATAAACTGAGACAATGTCTACATGTCATATTGCAATGTTAAAAGAGAAGCGATCACTAGCCGAGACTCAGACACCAGATAAAGGCAATCCCTCGGGTACATGATCTAGACATCGAGAGCTTTACCTAGTACTTAGACATTGAGGCCCTCACTCAACTCCGCCCCTAGATACCAGCGGGTACTAACGCCGCAACAATACAGATAATCTGACTACCCTCACCCGCACTCAGCGCACAGTGACACAGAGGTAAAAATGGGTCCTCGTTCCTTCTAGTATGGGGGGTCCTCTACTGACGCTTGGACCACCCCACCTAGCCACCCACGACCCCTAACTGGACACTGCCCCATACCTCAATGACCAGTATTAGCCCGTGGCAGGGTGACAGCACCAGCAGCAAAAGTCCCACTCAAAGCCGCTGCCCAACACCTTTCCATCCAAATTTAAACCATTGGATTGGCTCCCAAGACAACACACCGCGCAGCACCAACCCCACCTCATACCCACACAGGGAACCGGATGGTTCCTATCACCGCCTGCCCATATCACGACGGGTAGGCAAAACAATCGGCTCCTAACAAAGGTCTGTGTGACCTTTCCAGGGTGAACCCCAAGTACTCAGGTGGTCAGACTTAACCACCTTTGGTACATCACCTACGGAAGCCCCCCTCCGTCTACAGGTCAGCCTGTGCATTCTCACACACATATAGCACAGGCGGACAACACAGACGGTCAGCATTCCCCATTGTACATAGTTACGGTATATAAGTGCCGTCCTCTTCCCTGCTCCCTCCCTAAGTCTTTGTGCGTCCCTCCTTCACCTAGTGGCAATTACCACACAAGGTCTGAGCGACCGAAGTCAGATAAGAGACACACTCACTCATCCTAATGGCCAATATTCGCATCATAACACTTAACGTCAGGGGCCTCAACACCCCTGAAAAGCGCTCCATGGCTCTCAATGAACTACACACGCTCAAGGCAGACATAGCTTTCCTGCAAGAGACTCATTTTAAAAAAGGGGCAGCCCCCACCCTCAAAAACAAAAGGTACCCCACCAGCTATTTTAGTGATTTCACTGACGCTAAGGCGAGAGGAGTGGCAATCCTGCTCTCTGCCCATGTGCCCTTCACATACACATCCCATAAGTCTGACGACACAGGGAGGTTGCTCATGGTCAAAGGCCTAATCGGACAGACCATGGTCACGCTTGTAAACACATATCTCCCCAACAAACATCAATGCAAGATGTTCAATAAACAACTTAAAGCCATAGAACAATTCACCGAGGGTATTCTAATCCTTGGTGGTGACCTTAATATATCACTAGACTGTCGCCTCGACACCACGTCCCGAGCCACTGAGTATCAAACATCAGCACGTGCACGGATGGCCAAACTACTTGATAGTAGACAACTATATGACTGCTGGCGCACTATACATCCATCAACTAAGGACTTCTCGTTCTTCTCGCCCACATCACACGTGTACTCTAGACTAGATATGTTCTTCATCCAACACAGATTCCTACACCTAATACAATCCTCAGAATATGGCTCCATCACGTGGTCAGACCACGCGCCCTTAGTACTAGCCATACAAATACCCACCATCCCACAAAAACTATTACAATGGAAACTTAACGACCTCCTTCTAAATAACCCAGAGATTGTCTCGCAGCTCAGAGACTCTATAGACAACTATTTCACCATCAATACTACCCCATCCTCACCCCCACCTCTCACGTGGGAAGCGCACAAATGTGTGCTGAGAGGAGAAATAATAGCACTGGCAGCCAGACACAAAAAGATACGAGAGGCCTCCATTCGAACACTCACAGAGGACATACAGAAACTAGAAATCAGACATAAAACAGACACACGACTAGACACTTACAAAGCCCTCACAGCTAAAAGGTCTGCCCTACAGGACTTACTAAATGCCAAAATCAAACGCACGCTCCTGCTGACAAAACACTCCTATTATGCACATGGAGGCAAATGTGGACGTCTACTAGCTAACTCTCTAAAACAACAGAGGCAGTCGACCTTCATATCCAAAATTAGAACTCCCTCAGGAGCCATATCATATAAACTCCCAGACATACTATCAGCTTTCCAAGACTTCTACACCAGGCTTTACAATCTGAGGGACTCCCCCCCACCAACACAGGACATTGCACACTTCTTGGCTTCCAGGGTCCACCAGACTATCCCCGCAAATGTTCTTCTGACGCTTGATGCACCTATAACTTCAGACGAAGTCGATTTTGCTATACGTCACCTCAAACTGGGGAAGAGCCCAGGGCCAGACGGCTTTACGGCCAAATACTACAGAACATTCGCCCACTCCCTTACTGAACCCTTCACACGGGCATTTAATTCCCTTGCTCCACCCGTCGCCTTCCCCACAGCATCTTTGGAGGCGCACATAGCCCTCATACCCAAGCCTGGCAAAGACCCGACCAATTGCGGTAGCTACCACCCAATATCTCTGATAAATCTCGATGTGAAATTGTTCACAAAAATATTGGCCACCCGCTTGAAACCTTTACTCCAAACCTTGATACACTCCGACCAAGCGGGCTTCGTTCCCAACAGAGAAGCAAAACATAACACCACAAAAATTTTAAATTTGATATATTTGGCAAAACGCTTCCAACGGAGAGCCTCCTGCTCTCAATCGACGCGGAAAAGGCGTTCGATAGAGTGGACTGGACACTACTGAATGCCACCCTGTGCAAAATAGGATTTGGTCCCAAATGGTTGGACTGGATGCAAGCCATCTATTCCAATCCCACTGCCAGACTAAGGGTAAATGGACAACTCTCGGAACCTGTACTCATTAGAAACGGCACGAGACAGGGCTGTCCCCTCTCCCCCCTCCTCTTTATCCTCATACTGGAACCCTTCCTAAACGGAATCCGGGATAACCCGGCTATCAGGGGCATTCATATACAAGGGGTGGAGTACAAAATCTCAGCTTTCGCTGATGATCTACTCTTCATCATACAAACTCCTGACACTTCCTTGCCCCCACTCCTAGAGGAGATAGCCCAATACCATAAACTCTCAAATTTTCAGGTAAATTTCTCCAAAAGCGAAATCCTACCAATCCGAATAGCACCCCTCTCACGCACAAGCCTGCAAGCCGCATTTCCCTTCACATGGGCGGATAAATCCATTACATACCTGGGAGTTCGTCTGCCGGCGGATCTCTCTTCCATCTTCGCACTAAACTACGACCCACTATACCAAACTATCTCAAAAGACCTGCAAAACTGGCAAAAACCACAGTTCTCATGGCTATGTAGAATCAATATTCTTAAAATGAACTCCCTCCCCAAGATACTATACCTTTTCCAAACCCTACCGATAGCAATACCAAAGCCCTTTTTCACAAAACTTCGGCAACTTTTCACCGCTTTTATATGGGCACAGAAACAACCTAGAATCCCATATGAGGTTCTCACCAGACACAAGTCATGTGGAGGCCTGGGCCTCCCACACATGGAAAGGTACTACAGGGCAACCATTCTTTCCAGGATTCACGACTGGTCCACGCACCCTCCGATACGCCAATGGGTAACCCTTGAAAGTGCAGTGAGCCTCGTACCTCTTTACACACTCCCCTGGCAAAGAGTAATTCCCTCAAAATTGCTTTCCTGTTGCTCCGCACACCCCACCATCCTCCCCACGCTTAAGATATGGGTGAACATACGGGAGGCTGAGAGTCTCTCCCCTCACCCCTCTCCACTCTATCCTATCACCTGCAACCCACTATTCCCTCCCGGTATGCATCCCGGGATATACCAACGCTATTCTAAAATGCTGGACGCTCCCTACTTGACGTTGGGCTCAGTGGTTGAGAACAACTCCATACGAACACTGAGTGATCTGGTGGGCCCTGCCACCCCACATACACTACAAGCATTTCACTACGCCCAGCTGACGCATTTCTTAAGAGCCAACACGAACTTACTAGGGGGTTCCCGCACTCTCTCCGATTTTGAGACACACTGCCTAACCAATACCCCCAAAACCAAACAACTTTCGACCTTTTATAAACTTCTGATGACCGAACATAAAACCAAATTGCCACCCTTCACAGAATCCTGGCTAACAGACCTCAATGTACAAATCACGTTGCCTCAGTGGCGGACTGCCCTTTCACATATTCACACGACGTCCACATGCACTCAAATCCAAGAAAGTGGATATAAGAGAATATCCAGATGGCACTATTCCCCGGCCAAAATCCATAACATTTTCCCGAACACGCCCGATGTGTGCTGGAAATGCTCCCAACCAAAAGCGTCACTAGCCCACATCTGGTGGCATTGCCCACTCACACAACGTTACTGGACCAACATTGTGAAGATGATCCATACTGTAACAGGTACACAACTGACTCTTACCCCCCACACTCTGCTGTTCCTGATCTTACCTATCCCAATTCCCAAGACACAAAGAACCCTCCTTCTACATCTTCTTACTGCAGCCAACCTGCTCATCCCGGTTAAGTGGAAACATACTGAGGTTCCTACGATCAGAGAATGGGTAGCAAGAGTAGAGTCAATCAGAAATATGGAAGAGATTCACGCATCCATCTCCCACAACTACACACTTTTTAGGGAAGCATGGACGCCATGGGCGAGATTCGTGAACGGCAATACAACCTGATTGCCGGTGGAACACACTCCCCCCCACTGGGGTACCCTTCCGGATGAGTCGTCTGCTGAGTTGATTGGCAGTACGACACGTCCCTCCCACAATACCACCTGAGGTGATCAGAACAAGACACAGGACCCACGTCCCAGTTCACTTAGGTAGTCCCCACTTCGCCGCCCGCTAGACGCGCACACCACTACCCACAACTGCCGCCATGTAGGGCCGTTTCTGGCCTAGCTAAGACAGTGGCACAAAACAAGTAGGCGGGAACTGACAACATTGATTCCCCACTTCACACCCAGGACAACGACCCAGACTTCTGGCCCACAACCTAATATGGATCCTAGTAAACGGAAACACCCGATCTCTATACAGACCCGACCCTCAGCCTTAGTAAGTGTACCCGTTTTAGATGCACTAATGAATACTGTATAAATTGTATAACTTTGACAAACCCTATTGATATGTACTATTTACCTGTCCGAATATGTACTTATACCTGTGATGTTAAATGCCACCCCTGCTGCAAATGTTTTTGTATGCACTCCCCTCCTTCTATTTCTGTACCCCCATACCGCGATGGTATATATTTCTGAAAAAACAATAAAATCTATTAAAATAAAAAAATTAAAAAAAATAAAATACAAACAGAGAAAAAAATAAGTGCGCTAGAACAATTTTATATAAAGTGCAGATTTCCTCACAATATCAATAAAGTGAAAATAGGGAAAAAACGTAATTCCACTCTTTGAAAAGTGCAGTGTGCATATATATCGAGAGTGCTTGATGCAAAAAAAAAAAAAAAATGTAAAGTGGTCTGTGCACAAAAATGCACCTACTTTAATCACATATTTGAAGTGACTCTCAATTGCAAATAATAATACATAGAAGAGAATAAAATACAAAAACCATATATAATGAAATATTGTTTTAGTAAAACAAAATTTTGAATGTATTTAGAATGCTCACTCACAAGTAGAGAGCAGATGAGCCTGCTCTACTTCAGATAGCTCCAAATATAGAATCCACTGCCGCCAATAAGGTAAAACGATTTATTTCCACAATTATAAGACAGCACAACTTTAAAATTACTGGGTATTCGTGAAGTCTTTCCTTTCCTCAGTTCATGCAGCCGTTGGCTGAAACCAAACAGTCTATGCACGCTTGAGTTTGGGGGTGTCCACTCAATACTTCCAGGAACAGGGACGTGCGTGATGATGTCACGTAGCGAGTCAGATGACGCGTTTCACCGAGGGATCGGCTTCTTCAGATCTGACTTCTCTTTACCCTAATTGTCTTTTTATACCACCCACAAGGGCGTAGTATAATTAACAAGTGGCTCCTTATTGGTTTATTCACAATCAAATTTCAATAAAAAACGAAGAATATTCCCAAAAACCTAATATTCATCTAATTCATTCAAAATACCTATACAGGCTATCTTATATCCATATACATACATAATGAGTGTTTTAATAGAAAAACTGAAATTTTACACAGTATTTTCAAAATATTACATCCTCTATTTTAAAAGAGACATTAAAAACCTAAAAGACCTTAATAAACATCACTAATCTCACATTTATCAATTTTGCAGCTTACTTCAATGATAAGAAAATAAATCACCTCCCTCTCTTTTCCTTTCAACTGTCCAATCCTCTGTCCAGCCTCCTCCTCTACACTTAGTATCTTTCCTCCTTTTTCTGAAGAGGAGATTTCTGTGCTTCTGCTTTCTTCCTGTCCTACCATGTGCCCTCTTGATCTCATTCCCACGCACCTTATTCAGTCTCTCTCAACTATCCCATCTTTAACCAAAATTTCTGACTCCCTCAGCCAGCAGAAGTATTCATGTGTACCCAAAAGATAGGAAACTGGAGGGTGGCTAAAATGTTTTTCTTTGACCAGCATGTGTGTTTCTGTGTGCCTGTGTATCTGCATGTGTGCATTTCTTTGTGTCTGTGTATCTGCCTGTGTGTCAGTGTGTGTGTGTCTGTGTATCTGTATGTGTGTGTCAGCTTGTGTATCAGTGTGCTTTATGTGTCACTGTGTATCTGCATGTGTTTCAGCATGTGTGTCTGTATATCTGTATGTGTGTCAGTTTGTGTATCAGTGTGCCTGTGTATTAGTGCCGAGATAACAGCTCTGAGTCTTCTCCTATAATGCCTGATGAGGTTGGAGACTTTTCCATATGGCCACCTCTCTATGTGCACCAAACTCACCTCTGGTGTTTATTGCCAAAAAAAGCTCTATTTTGGTTTCATCTAACCACAGAACCCGATCTCCTTTGAAGTTCCAGTAGTGTTTGGCAAACTGAAAATGTTTTAGTTTATTTTTGAATGAGTAGAGACTTTTTTCTTGAAACCCTTCCAAACAACTTGTGTTTATGTAGGTGACTTCGGATTATAGTTTTGGAGTCTTTCAGATCCCAAGACAAAACTTCTGCAATTCTCCAGCTGGGATCCTTAGAGATTGTTTGGTCACTCGAACCATCCTCTTTATGCTGTGTTGAGACAATATAGACACACATCCTTTTCCAGGTTGAATCATAATATTTCTAGGTGACTGGAACTTCTTAATTATTTTCCTGATGGTGGAAATGGGTATAATCAATAGTTTTGCTATATTTGTATAGCCACTTCCCATTTTGTAAAGCTCAACAACCTTTTGTTGCACATCACAGTTATATTCCTTGGTCTTACCCATTGTAATATTTATACCCCTGTGAGACTGGAAGTCACAGGTGAAAATGTCCCGTTCCTAGTCACCCAGGTATATTAAAAATCTTTTTAAATATCAGTGGGAATATACTTCAAATAAATTTTTCTCATATAAATTCATAGGGGTGCCAGTAATGCTGCCACACATATATTTAACAAAGATTTTTTTTTTATAATTTCTTGTTATATTTGCAATTGTGTGAGTATTTTTGTGTGTTTTTAACAAAAGGTTAGATAATAAAGAAAAAAAATTCACACTTCTTTGCTCATGGATGGATAATGGATGCCAGTATTAGTGGAGGGCACTGGACACACAAACACAACACTGTTATAAAACACCAACATTATATATAAACAAACCCATGCATTCAAAACGTTACACACAAATGCATACTTGTAATGAAATTCCACCATGACATACAAACACACCTTTACATTTGCACACACATACACCATATACAAACCTGCAAGAATGGGCAAATTGTAGATCCCAAGTTGGCAAAGCATTGTGGGAGTTGTACAACATTGGAGATCTACATTTTGGACACTCTTGCACTGGGCCAGACAAAAAATATTTATTTATTTTTAACATTGAGAAATCTATTCAAAATATCTCCACTATATGCTTAAAACGAAACAGAAAACCTACTAGATGGTGTACCCCTAAACACCAATATACAAATAAAACCTACAAGGTTACATAGTTACATAGTTACATAGTTACATAGCTGGAAAGAGACTTGCGTCCATCAAGTTCAGCCTACCTCATATTTGTTTTTTGCTGTTGATCCAAAAGAAGGCCAAAAAAAACAGTTTGAAGCACAATTTTGCAACAAGCTAGGAAAAAAATTCCTTCTTGACCCCAGAATGGCAGTCAGATTTATCCTTGGATCAAGCAGTTATTACCCTACATTGAAAGATTATATCCTTGAATATTCTGTTCTTGCAAGTATGCATCTAGTAGCCGTTTGAACATTTGTATGGACTCTGTGTAGCGGTACTTACCCTTTCCAGGGGCCGGCCGGGGTCCTCTGTTCGAGCCGCGCACAGTCCTGCTGCTGCACGAGCCGCGCGCGGCTCATCCGACGGCTGTGACTGGAAAGCGGTCACGTGTTCCACCTAACTCTAAGAGCGCGCCGCGGGTATCGGGCGCGCTCTTAAAGGGACAGTGGGTGCCTAAATTGGAAAAGGTATCCCATTGGTCCCTGTCATGCCACACTCCCCATACACTTACCTTTTGGGGGTGTGGATGTGACAGGGACCAATCAAATTAGATGTTTAGGTATTTATACTCACCTTCTTCCCTTTGTTCCTTGCCCTATCGTGGTTTCTGTATCAGTTCCCTTTAGCGCTTGTTGTGTTCAGTTGTGTTTCTCCGTATTGACCTTGGCTTTGTTTCTGACTACGTTTTCTCTTTATCCTTCTGTTCTGGTTGTCGGCTTGTTGTTTACTGTGTACCAGACCCTGGCTTATCCTAGTTTACGCTGTCTCTCTGTGCCCTTGATTTCGTATTGTTCCTGACTCTGTCTCCTCTCATATACGTCGAGTCCGGCCATTCTAAGGTCCGGTAGACGTATCTCTCCTCTGTGTTGTCTTTTGTTTAGCTGAATCCTGCGTGTTGGGGTATATTCTCGTTACACTCTGATAAAACCACTTCTTCAGGCAGAGAATTCCACATCCTGATTGTTCTTACAGTAAAAAAACCTTTCCTTTGCCTTAGACGAAATCTTCTTTCTTCCAGTCTAAACGCATGGCCTTGTGTCCTATGTAAAGTCCGGCTTGTGAATAGATTTCCACAGAATGGTTTGTATTGGCCCCGAATATATTTGTATAATGTTATCATATCCCTCTCAGGCGACGTTTTTCTAAACTAAATAGGTTTAAATTTGTTAACCTTTCTTCATAGCCGATGTGTTCCATTCCTTTTATTAGTTTTGTAGCTCGCCTCTGCACTTTTTCTAGTGCCATAATATCCTTCTTTAGAACAGGTGCCCAAAATTGCACAGCATATTCAATATGGGGTCTTACCAGTGATTTATAAAGAGGCAAAATTATATTCTTGTCCCGAGAATGAATGCCCTTTTTCATGCATGACAATACTTTACTGGCCTTGGCCACTGCTGATTGACATTGCACATTGTTGCACAGTTTGTTGTCTATAACAATTCCCAAGTCCTTTTCATGTGTTGTTATCCCTAATTCGCTTCCATTAAGGGTATACGTTGCTTGTGTATTCTTTACGCCGAAGTGCATAACTTTTCATTTTTCAACATTAAATTTCATCTGCCATTTGAGTGCCCAGTCCCCCAGTCTATCTAAATCCCTCTGCAGCAAAGTAATATCTTGCTCACATTGTATTGTTTTACAAAGTTTGGTGTCATCTGCAAACACTGAAACATGACTTTCAATGCGGTCTTCAAGATCATTTATAAACATGTTAAATAGAAGGGGTCCCAGAACAGACCCCTGAGGGACACCACTTGCCACCCCTGTCCAGCTTGAAAATTTACCATTAATGACAACTCTTTGTACTCTGTTTTTAAGCCAATGTTCTACCCAAGAACAAGCATTTTCATCTAGACCGATTTCCTTGAGTTTGAACACTAATCTATTGTGTGGAACTTTATCAAATGCCTTGGCAAAATCCAAATAGATCACATCCACAGCAACACCCTGATCTATACTTCTACTTACTTCTTCGTAGAACGCAATCAAGTTAGTTTGACATGACCTGTGTAGGATTGGTGTAGGATTTCAACAGAGTGACACCTTATGTAGTGAAAGAATATAAAATAGAATACACCTTAAATAATAGAGGCAGTCTGAAGTGCCTAAAAATATAAACTGCACATAGTGTAATACGTAATGTATGGTAAATACACGCAAGTTGAGAGGGAAAGAACTCACTAGAGCCAGGTAATGTTTCAGCTTATCACTAAAAGGGGATACCGGTGCTTCAATCTTTAGTATAGATCTTCACAGGCATGAATTAAACATAAAATAAATATAGTGCAGATAGAATGTACAAACGGATTTATTATTAAAATTGCACTTACAAGATATTCAGTATTATGGGCATATCTCCACCTCCAGTGGATCAAAGCAGGAATCCTGGGATGTGTGTGATCCCAAATATAAAGGAGAGTATCCCAAAAGAAAAGGCAAAGATGAAATACACTATAAAAAACAATAAAAACAAAGTAAAAAGTCCCAAATGACTGGACAGTCTGAACCCAATGCGTTTTGTCCTGTGGACTTCTTTAGGGATATCGGACTGTTCTCGTGTGTTCTCTCAATATATATATATTAGTGTTGATTGAAGAATTCTGTTAATCTGTGTTCCTCGTGTATGGCGTGCGTTCCACAGTGAAACGCTATCTGGCTTCCGGGTCCGTCGTTGTATCCGTTACAAAATACTTAAACAGATGTTAAAACACGGTATAGACAGGAATCATCATCACGGCATTAAACTCCCTTAGTAGACTGGTATGGAAGAAAGGGAAAAAG